TGTGTGTGTGTGTGTTTGTGTGTGTGTGTGTGGTGCGTTCGTGTGTGTGTGTGTGTGTGTGTGTTTGTGTGTGTGTTTGTGTGTGTGTGTATGTATGTGTGTGTGTGTTGTGTAGCGGGGGTCCTCATTCAAACTACCAAAGGCCTCATGGATCCTTGAAAGCTCCTATGATAGAAGGAGGCAAGGTGGCACAACAATATAGATAGTGATCAGTAATTTGAAGAACAATTAGTTCAACTGAGTGCCTGTGTTTCTCTTCCCCTTTCACATCCTCAGTGGAGTGATAGTTCCACAAACAAAACTTCCCTTGCACAAGGTATCAATCTTGTTTTTGTAGGCAGTATGAAGATTTCTGGCTCCACTTAAAGAGTAAACTCCTGTGAATTTGTAGTTCTTCAAAATACATGTTGTGATCAAATGCAAATCCTGTGTACACGTAAAAAGGGTCTAAGCTAGAAAAGAAATGAATTTTACTATTTATTCATATATGTATATTTCAGATACATGGATTTGAATGAATACCATTTTTTTGGAAGTTACATCTTCCAAAAATATTCAGTGGGTGCTCAAACCTTGCTCTCAAACACCTCCTTCGATTTTGGAAGAGGACCTGGCTCTAGATTACATCTTCTCACCCATCTAGGTTCCTGATCAAGACATCACACCACTGCGCTTGGACATAAGGTAGTGGCTCTCTGTTCGTTATTTTTTCCAGATCATGTCCTTCTTCCCAGGCTCACTGAACTCTGACCCTTGTGCTATTTCCTACTAAGCCCAGTACAGCACCTTCATTCCTTGAGGATTTAAAACTCACACTTATTCTCCTGAGGAAGTCTGGGAGTTTCTGCTTGTCAGGAGCAGAAGGTCAATTGCGGAGGCAAAGGGTAATAAATAATAAACATGGCTCTGATGGCACATCTCCACCCCATTCAGCCACAGCCAGGAGAAGGCGAGTGCCAGCAGCTGCCTGCCCCCCTAAAGCTCCTGCACTGAGGTGTAGTGATTCCTACAGCATTTGTTACCTTTGTGTGTATATCCTCAGTGCAGCTTCTTTTCCTGAGTCTTCTGTGGGACTTTGCAAATGCAGGGTGGTGTTGACACAGGCTAACCTGCAAGCCCTAGGCTCTCCCAACTGACAAGTCCGCACATCTGCATTAGTTTGCAATTGTTGTACACACTGCTGGAAGCAGCAAGATAACCCTGTAGGGAGACCTGATTTAAAATTCACTGCATCCTGGTTTGTTGATTTTTCTCTAATTTACCGAATATTTCCAAGAGTAGAAATGAATGTAAATCTGGTTATTGCTCACGACAACCCACAGGCCACCAGAGCACCCTGTTTCATTTTAAGTCCAACTACAGTTGAAACTGCATCCCACGTCTTTTGTTAAATGCAAATATATGAAGGGGAGAAAAAAAAAGGATCATAGATTGAAAGAATTCTATGTGGATTGTTTGGAATCTCAGTGATGCTAGGTTAGAAAACCCCCAAAGGACTCTGAAAGTAGAGATGGAGAGCGGGGAGGGGGTGGATTCGGACATAACATTTTACATCTGACTTCGTATCTGTACCTTCTCTTTTCATGTATGTTTGGTCTGTTGGGTAAGATATTCATAGGATACAGCTTTATTATATGAATAAAGATATATGAATAAAATACCATATCATAAAGATATTATATGAATAAAAATATATAATAAAAGATATAACTGGGTAAAATAATCCAGACTAGCGTTTCTCTTTAAAATTAGTATTTTTTTAAATTTTTGACAGTACCATACTTGCATATGACCTGCTGTGATCCGTTCACTCCCATTGCCCTCTCTCACCCTCCCTCCCGATCCCACCAACATCCTTCTTCTTCCGGTTGTCCTCTCATCCTCATGCCTCTCCTTTCCCTTTTTTTTTTTTTTTATAATCTTGCTTTGAAGAAGTTTATATTAACTTCTAAAAAACAAACAAAAAACTAAGAAGATGTTCAAAGCAAACTTCCCAAGATCTTCACCAAGAATACAAAGGCCACAGAGCTCGGAGGGACTGGGCAGTGAAAAACTCTGCCTTCCAAATGACAGACGCATATGACGATGGAACAAAAGGCCCAAAGGTGCCAGGATGCCAGGAGACCAACAGTCGTTGCAGAAGATCACTAGACACAGGGCATGGACAGACATGGAAGAGACATGTAACCCCGCAGCCCAGACCAGAGAGTTCAGGGTCTCATGGAAGTGAAGTAAGCTGTTCTGGGCGTCCTCAAAACTACGTACTAGACTTAACTTTGAGTAATTTAAACAAGCATACATTTTAAGATTATTAACCAGCCATGAGGTTGTGTTTTGCATTGGCCTCTCTTTCACCACCCCCATCACGATGACAGAAGCCAAGTGTAGAAATGTCTTCTAACCCCACCAGGAACACTGAAAGCCATGCCTTTCCCTGCTGAGGTGGGCTCAGGGTATGCCTACTGAAATAGAATTTTAATATGGCCCAAATCCTTACAATGTCATATTTACAGTGTTAAACCACTTAAACATCCACGAATAAGCTAGAGGCATGAATAGTATCTCTGAGTACTTGTCGGAATGACCAAACAGAGAAGAGACCCAGAGGAGCAGACAGTCTTCCATCAAAGAACAGAGCAAACACAGCCTATTCCACACCAAACAACAGCACTCATTCTCCCTGAACTCTAAATGTCACTACTTAGCTTAAATCCTACGCAGTAAACAGTCTTCAACAAAGGCAAAAAAAAAAAAAGGAATCGTCTAATGTGTTCTATGACCAAAATAGAATCAAACTACAGTCAACAACAGAAAAACAAGAATCTCTCTTACAGTGGGAAATTGGCTGCATGGGGGTGGGGAGGGTGAGGGAGGGGATGGGGACACATTACTAAACCATTCATATCTAAAACGAAAAGTCACAAGGGGGATTAAAATACATTGAAATGAAAGTAAAAATTCAGCATACCAAAAGTCCTCAGGAGCAGCCAGGACAGAGCTGAGAGCTGACAGCACCAAATCAATCCTGTATCAGAAGAGAATGGAATTCTTAGTAATCTTAGGTGCTGATTTAAGAAAGAGAGGAGTATAATGATCCCAAAGTAATCCTACATAAAGAGGAATGAACAGAGTAACAAACAGCAAAGCTCTAGACAAAACCAGAGCAGTAAAGAAAGATTGCCTTTGAACGGAAATATAAACTCTGAGCTGTAAAGCAACGTGGGCATAAAAAAAAAAAAAAACAAAAACAAAAACAAAACAACAACGTAAGGGAGAGACAGACCCGCAATGTCAGGAGTGTCCACAATCCATGCATACCCTGCATCTAGCTGCAGAGTAAGGAGCTGCTTTCAGCAGCTCCACTTACACAGTGTTGGCAATGTGTTAATCAGCCCAAGTTCTCTAAAAGAATGAATAACTGAAACTCAAGGAATATGAAGTGTGTACTGTGAGTTGCCATGCAACTACTAAGGATACTCAACTCAGAACTTCGGATGTTGCACAGAAACAAGACCCTGGCTTCTAGATCTTTACAAGCGAATTCTACCAATCCAATGCCGCCACCTCCAGGAAATAGAAGAGGAAACACGATCCAAAGCCAGTTTTTGAAGCCAAACTTACCTTCACACCAAAACCAAAAAGTTACCATACAAGAAGAATAGCAAAAGCCCCGCTCATGAACAAAGAGGCAAAGTTTAACTAGATGAATCTAGCAGTGTAAGAATAATTGTACAGCATAAAAAGTGTGGTTTATTCTAGGGATTCAAGATTGTAGATTACTTAAAAATCAATCAAGGACCAGAACTTCTAGGGCAGGGTCAGAACACTTAGGAGCTACTGATTTCACTCAAATCCCTGGAATTATCTGAGACTCAGAGGCCTCCACCTCTGGCCACACAGAGACTTTAAGCTTATAAACTGAAGGGGTTTAATTTGGCTTTCCCCAAATTCCTCTCCAATCCTACATTCTACACAACCAGATTAGTTCTGTGATCCATGAACATGAATCTTTGACACCTTCTTCCTAGAACCCATGTGACTCGAGTTTCCGCTATTTATAAAGTAGATATAGTGTGTGGTTTGCTGTGGTCATTGGTCCTTGGAGGAAAGCAAGTGTGTTACTGTAGGTCATAACATTTCACAGACTATGCCTCATTCACTGGTACATGGCCCACTGACTTCAGAGCCCATCTGTGATTTGCCTTGCCCCTTCTTGCCTACCATGTCAACTGCAGAGATGGGTGCAAGTGTGATGACTTTGTCTGTCCTCCTGGTGAAAATGGAGGACAGAGTGTCTGTCATGCCTCATCTTGGGCAAGTGGTGCCAACAAGTGTGGTGGTATTGTGTTCCCCGAAATATTGTGCACGCTAATAAACTTATCTGGGGTCAGAGAACAGGACAGCCACAATATTAAACATAGAGGATAGGCAGTGGTAGCACATGCCTTTAATCCCAGCATTCCAGAGGCAGAAATCCCTCTGGATCTCTGTGAGTTCAAGGCCACGTTGGAAACAGCCAGATATTGTGACTCACGCCTTTAATCCCAGAAAGTGAGCCTTTAATCCCAGGGATGTGGGAGCCTGTTCTCGGGTTCCTCGTGGCTTTACCCAGCAGGTCCGAATAGAGGATGATCAGGACCACGGGCCTGATTGCAGGTGTCTGAGATGGTCTGCACTTGGCTGTGCTGGGGGAGGAGGTCTTTTGCTCCACCCCTTGGCGTCTCTATAAAAACCCTGGGCCAGAGACAGTTGGGGCTCGTTGGAATAGGTTCCAGGCCCTCTCGAGGCTCCTTTATTTTCTATCTGTTTATCTCCACAAGATTCTCCGCTATAAATCCTTCTATCTAATATTTCCTGCTGATCGCACTCAAGAAAACTCTGGGGAACTGTGGGGGTGGTGGGTAAACGCCCCACACAGGAAGTGATGGCAGAAAGCAGAAAGACATATAAGGTGTGAGGACCAGAAACTAGAAGCATTTGGCTGGCTAAGCTTTTAGGCCTTTAGCAGCAGTTCAGCTGAGATTCATTCGGGATGAGGACTGAGAGGCTTCCAGTCTAAGGAACCAGGATAAGCTGAGGAATTGGTGAGGTGAGGAAGCTGTAGCTTGTTCTGCTTTTCTGATCTTCCAGCATTCACCCCAATAACTGGCCTCAGGTTTGATTTATTAATAAGACCTTCTAAGATTCTTGCCACAAACAAGAAATAGATTCAGCTATCTGGAGCCTTTGTTGGTCTTCTTGGTGAAGATGGAGGGCAGAGCATCTGTGATGCCCCATCTTGGACAAGTGGGGGAAATCAAGAAGAATAAGAAATAAGTTTAGTTATCTGGAACCAATAAGACTTTTAGGATTACCAGTGCTGCAGGCCTACTTTATTCTCCCTGGTACTAGACAGCCAGCTTCTGAATGCTTCTCCTGGTTTGAGCCTGACTGAGAGTGTTTTAGGGTAGTGGATGATGATGGTGGCAGTAACTCTGGGAGGATAAGTCTGTCTGATTTATGAAGAATGGTTTTTAATATATGACAACTCTAGGCATGTTTATGACCTCATTTGGTCACTGTGATTGAGAGATTTTCATGTGTTCCTGATTTTCCAATTTTGAGCCTGAGAACTGACAACATTAGGTTTTTTTTTTTTTTAGAAATATGACCTTTGATTGATAGTCTACAAATCTGTAGTGAAAGCTGATTTTGCAATTCAATGCTTGCTGAATTAGGCTTGAAGGGGATAATTCAAGGAGAAGTTTCACAAAATAGAAATCTCCTGACTCTTTGAGGATTGTATAGCATTAAGTTTAGTGTTTTGTATTCAAGGCTTTTGATTATTCAGCATGTATAGCAGTGAACAAGGCAGATAACTGGGATAATATGCAAAAATACATGAAAAATTAAGGCAGCATTGTAGTTTAGGAGAGCTGCTAACAGAAATTCATTACTAACAAAGAGGGTTGTCATAAAAGTCCAAAGATAAGGTAGCCTTCAAAGAGATGAGGGTAAACAAAGATGGATGAAATGAAACCATCTCTGAAGTTGCCTGAGCTGCTGAGTCAGAACTGGGAGGTTCTTCCACCCTTTTTGGAGAGCCAAAGGCCATCCATCCTCAGGACATTGTCTACTGATGTCATCCTGGACATATTCAGTGTGAAGTCACAAGTGTCCTCTTCAGAGCAAAGCCCTATCTAGTGCCCCTGCCATTTCTAGCACAACTATTTTGTCCTTTTGTCTCTGGTTCATGCACAGCCAAGTCCTCCACTGAGCACTGGGATGACAGCAGTGGCCCTGAAGGCTGTCCTGCCTCACGACACCTCCTGTGCAGAAGATAGAAAGATAACACTAACTACCAGTGGGCTGTGAGTTGTGCTTCTTTGATTGTTTTCTCACTGTGAACTGTATGTATTGAAATGAGAAGTAACATGGTAAAACAGATGGAAAAATCATCTTTATAATGTTGAAAGGCATTCAAGGGCAGCAAGGGAGGGCAAGGGTAGGGATAAAGATGTCAAGTTCACCTTGTGAGCAAGGTCAGATAGACACTGTGTCTACAGAACAGTCTAGCAAAAGCATTATCATTTTCTTTTCTTTTCTTTTCTTTTCTTTTCTTTTCTTTTCTTTTCTTTTCTTTTCTTTTCTTTTCTTTTCTCTCTCTCTCTCTTTCTTTCTTTCCTTCTTTTTTTTTGCAAACTTTCAGACATATATAGAGTCAGTAACACATCCTTCTCTCCATATTGACATGTTATTAACATTCCAGATCTTGCAGTGCATCTGCATCCCCTGTGTACTAAGACTTAGGATGAGAAAAGTCATCAAGACATAAGCCTTGCTGTCACCTTATTATGAAGAGACACAAATTCGTAAGACCTTTGTTGTGGTTTAAATAGGAAATGACCCCAATAGGACCATGTTTTGAATGTTTCTTCCCTAACCTATGGCATCTGGGGACAGATTATTGATTGAGTATATAGAAGGTGGGACCTGGCTGGTGGAAGGGGGTCACCAAGGAGAGCCTTTGAGAATAATATGGGGCCCTGGTTCCAGTCACTCGGTTTCCCGATCCACCATGATGCGAACAATCTCCAGCTCACATTCCCACCTCCATACACGGCCATTTTGCCATGCTTTCACACTCCAATGAACTAAACCATGTATAAAAATAAACTGTTCCTCCCTTTGGTTGTTTTAGTCCAGAGTTTGGTCCTGTCAATAGAAAAGTAACTAAGAACGAAGACTAGCACTGGAGGACTAGTCACTGCTGTGATAACCTGACTAGGCAGAAAGACTGCACACGAGTCAAGTCCCTGAGATCAATGCCCAGTGCTGTCAATCAGCCAATAAATAAATAAATAAATATCAAAAGGATAAATAAACACCGGTTTTTAGGGCTTTGGAACTAGTTTGCAGAAGGGATGAGGGAGAGTTTGGGAGTGTGGCCTAGAGAAAGTCAGGATGCTGTAATCTCCACTCAGTGGATGGTTCTGATAGGAGTTTGGAAGACCAGAATGCCCACAGAAGTGTGGGCAGAAAGACTGTGCCCACAAAGGTCCAGATTAAGCAAGGACTCTACTGGGAGTTGGTCTGAGGCTGTTCACGTTAATCTGGCAAAGAATCCGTCTACATTTTGCCCATGCGCTGAATATTTAAGAGAGGCTGAATTCAGCAAAAATGGACCAACTAATTTGGCAGGGGAAATGTGAAGGCAGCATAGCATTAGGCTGAGGCACGGTTAGTGCTGGCTGATTATAGTCTGGTTTGTAGTGAGAATCAAGAGCAAACAGTAGAGTACAAAGTCATGACAACCATACAGGGTGGCCAGGAAAGTAGAATAAATACAATTGAAGTCGTGACCAAAGCAGTTATGACTGCTAAAGAGAAGTTGGAGTCTTTGTAGAGACAACAGGGAAGGGGTTTGAGAACAAGACCGACTCACCAGAGGCCCCAGGATGTAAAACTGAAAACTTTCCTTTGAAAAGAGGGATGCACGGGGCTTTGCTGTATGAGCAAACCCACCCCGGGAAGACGTTTCCAGGTTCAGCTGTGCAGTCACTCAGAAGCCGCTGCAGTTGTGGCCTCAGGAGGAACAGCTGCCTCTCAGTTGTACCTTCCATTTGTCATGGATTTTGAAAACACAAGGTAATGCAAGAGTTGTGGGTCATGTAGGCTTGCATCAAGATTTTCACGAGAGCCTGGGAGTCCAAACAGTGTGCAGCAGAGTTGGGTTCTTGGCACGTAGCCCTTGAGGGGCTGATTTAGGAAGCTGTGAATGTGAAGCCTAAGTTGTAATGGAGACGCTGGGTTTTTGGATGTGCCAGGATGTAGGATGTCTGCTGAAGAAAACTCCAGGCGATGTGTGTAGCTAGCCTGAGAGAAATGTTATGTGAGTT